GATCCGAGTTCACGCTCTCGCAGATCGGCGTTGGGAACGAGCCCAGCGCCGCGGCGTTCGCGGGGACGTCCGGGAAGCACAACTCCTGACACGTCGGGTCGACGTGGCCCCGGCTATGGGGCCGGTCGACGATGTGCCGGAACTCGCCGAGCCGGGCCGGCAAGCTGTCCGGCGACGCCTCCGCGGCCCGGCACCGGGCAAAGACCCGGACATGACAGGCGTCGTCATGGACCAGGATGGACAGTTCGGGGACGGCGTGGGCCATCTCGGCGAGGAAGCAGTAACGCTGCGAGAGCGTCTCCGCCGTGATGACCTCCTGGAGCCCGCAAACAATCCCAGTCTGGGTGACGGCCGTTAAGAATCCAGCCGATCTCGACGCCGTTTTCACGGCAGAGATGGATTCCTTGTGGGTCTTGCAGGCGCACTTTGCCTTGGGCTCGCGGGACGCCCAATCGCCTAAGACGAATCGGGGCGCCCGCCGGTCCTGGCCCCGACGCTCCATCCGCAAGCGCTTGCGCTCCTGCACGACGGGCTCGGCGATGCGGGCGAAGTAAGCCTGCACTGCTTCGTCTGCCACCGAGGCGGCAGGCTGCCACCCTGCATTCCCCGCCAGGCGCACCTCGACCTCGAGGAAAGCGCCGACGGACAGAGGCGCCTTGACGCGGTGCGCCTCGATGTCCTCGCGGAAGTCTGCGCGCGCGGTCAACTCTTGGTGGCGGCGGCAAAGCACGAGGCCCCCGCGCAAAGGAGTTTCGGAACACCCCCGGACGAGATGCGTGTCCAAGACCTTGCAGTGCACGGCCTCTGCGCAAGGGGTGCCGCAGGTCCGCCGGTACAGCTTGGCATTCCCGTCCATGGCGCACACGTCCAGGCGATCTCCGCTGGAACGCCACGCGCGAAGACGGCGCTCTGCCATCCGCGGGAGGTACCAGTCGGCGGCGTTCCGCAAGAGGTCCTGGCGGGGGCCGCAAATTCTGGCGGGCCGCGCCTCCCCGCCTAAAGGGGAGCAGTTCGGAAACGACAAAAAAGAATTGCTTTTTGTCTTTGGATTGGCTTGGTGGGCTGCCCCGCCGCTTCTAATCCCTCGCGCGCGCGCGTTCCCTGTCCCAGGGTCCTCCAGGGGTAATTCCAGCAAAGAAGCAGCCAGCGTGGCCTGCCGGCCCGACACCTCCGAAGCCCGCAGCCACAGCTGGTGGCGGACCCATGCGGACTCCAACTCTCTCTCCAAACGTTCGGCAGCGAGATCGGGCTCCAAGGCGCGTGCTCTCTCTCCAAACGTTCGGCAGCGAGATCGGGCTCCAAGGCGCGTGCGATAATGGCTTCGCCTTGAAAAAGAGGGGCGGTGCTTGTACAAACGGTACGCCCACCGTCGTGCCCAAGATTCGTGAATGCCGAACGACTTGTTCACCATGAAGAAGGGAGCGTGGGGCGCGCCCGCGTCGACGACTTTGTCGAAGCCGCCGCGCGCCCCGGCACTGGGAATCTCCACGTAGCCGCACCAATACTTGCGCACATCACCTTGCCGGATGCGCCGCTCGCAGACCTTGGCGAAGTGGTGTCGTTGGATGCACTCAGGTTCGGCCATGATGATGCATCTCACGGGGCTCCTCTGCTGCCGAACAGTAAGGCGTTCGGAGCACTGCGGGCAAGTACTGCGATACGTGGTGAGATCGGAAAGCTGAGACGCGGACCCGGTAGGAGCGGTGGCGGCAGCCCCGTCTACCGACGCTGCTGGGGAGATCGCAGGTCGCGGCTCCACAGGTTGAGCGGCCAGCTGCGTCGCTTCTGGTCGCGGCGACGCCTGTGCGCGGACTGGCGCCGACGGGGCGACTGGCAAGGCGGCGTCTGGAGCCCTCGCAGGCGCGACCGACGGGGCGGCGTCCGGGCAGGCCCCCCAGAGCGGCTGAACAGGTCGCCACGACGGAGCCTCTGCAGGAGCTGGTGGATTTTCCACGGCCCCCCACAATGGACGCACTGATTGCCAAGATTCCCTTGGAGGCATGCTGGCCTCACTCGGCCCGGGCGAGCCGAAGTTCCGAGACTTCCCCAGCAATGCAGGGCAATGGCGAACAGAAAACATTTCGATATAGGTTTTAGATAGGTTCAAAAGTAGGTTCGGGAGATAGGTTCGCAAGCATAGTAGGTCCCAGGAAGAAGGTGCAACGCGCGGGGAAAACGTGTCATCGGGCAGATAGCCTCCCGTTACTGGGTTTGCCAAAGCGCGTCGGCGCAAATGCCGCGGGCAGCTAAGTTGGCGAAGCGAATTCGCCAAACTAGCCCTGGCGAGTGCACCCGGGGACGTTCCCTGGCCGCGGTAACCTCGCCAAGAAGGTTTGCAATGAAAAACGGCGTCAGGGCTGCATTTCAGGCAGGGGCCGCGACACTTTTCGCGCGATGCACTCTCGGGCACTAAACATAAAAAATTAACGAGAGCGGCTGCGGAGAAGACCTCCGAAAACACGACCCTCCAGAAAAGCAGTCACGACGATGGGCGACCCAAAAATCAATTGGGGCAGCCCCAGCAACTGGCACGGCGAACAACGCAACTCAAGGAATCCCGGACAAGCCGGGCCGCCACCAACAATCACCCCGTACCAATACCGTGCCCCGGCGGGGTTCGGACACGCCATGGCTCCTCCTCATTATCGCGGCCGCCCCGCCCAAGGTCATTCTGCCCTCCCCAAAGCCACTCGTTATCAATCACATCATGCTTCCCATCATCGCCCCCCTTGCCTCACCATCCTCCCCCTCGTCAGCCGCAGCATCCACGTTCTCATCCTCCTGCCCCCGATCCTCCCCGCCCTCCCCGCCCCCCCCTCCTCCTCCTCCTCCTCCTCCTCCCCCCCCTCCTCCTCCCCCCCCTCATATTCCCCATCTTGTTCCTACCTTTTCCCCCTCATCCCCCCTTCATCCGCCCCTCATCCTCCGCCCGATCCTCCGGGTCCTCTTGGCCCTCCTCCTCCTACTCCTCTCTCCTGTTCCTCCTTCCTCCTGGCCCTCCGTTTCCTCGACCTGGCTCTCCTCCTCCTCCTCCTCTTCTTCCTCCTCCACATCCTCCTCCCGGCTCTCCTCATCCACCTCCTCCTCCTCCTCTCCCATTCCTCTTCCTCCTCCTCCTCCCCCACATTCTCCTCCACCTCCTCCTCCTCCTACCTTCAATCCCTGACCTTCCATGCTTCCGAAAACAGTTTGAAGTAGGTTTGAAATAGGTTTGAAGTAGGTTTGAAGTAGGTTCGAAGTAGGTTTGAAGTAGGTTTGAAGTAGGTTTGAAGTAGGTTTGAAGTAGGTTTGAAGTAGGATTGAAACCTACTTTGAGGCCTCCGAAACCTACTTTGAGGCTCCTAAAACCTATTTTGAAGCCTCCGAAACCTACTTTGCGCTACCGAAAACCTACTTTTGGAATCCGGAAACCTTCTTTGGAACCTACTTTGCAAAAACAAATTCTGCAAACCTACTTTCCGACCTACTTTGGGGGCGCGGTTCCTTGAAACATCAGCACACGCTTGCCCGAGCCTTTCCCAGAAGTCGCCCCCGGGGGCGGCGCGCCAAAAAAGGAATCTGCGAAGTACCCCCAGAAGGTGAGCAAACCCAAAACACTTGTAGGTTGCCCCCGACAGGCGGGAGCCCCCCAAAGGGGGCGGTCTCCCCCCCCCCCGAGGGTCGAGGATCGAGCGCGATTTCGCTGTCGGGCGACAAGCGAACGTACCGCGACAGGACAGGGCCTTTTGGCAGCCCCCCCGCTGGCGGGCAGGGGGCCGCCGCCTGGCGCCCTAGGTTCTTCAGAAACCAAACCTGATGCGGCCGCCCCCCGCCCCCCGGGGCCCCTCCGGGCCCGGCCCGACGGAGGCGCCACTCCCCTTCCGTTTCTCTTTCCTCCTCCCACCTCTCTCCACCTCCTCTCCTCTTTCACGCGCCCTCATTATTCCAGCCTCCCTCCACCTCCTCCCCCCGGAAACGCCACCTCCCCCCTACCCGCCTTCTGGAGCCCCCCACCCTCCCGTTTCTGACCTTCTTAACCTTCCTGGTCCTCCCTCTCGCCCCCCCCCCCTCCCCCTTGCTCGGGCCCGCGGCCCTCGCCCCGCCCTCCATGCCCCACTTCCCGCTGTGGTCAGACCAAGGGGGAAACGCAGTGCCCCCAGATCTCAGGACGGAGGTGGTTTAGAGCGCTTCCTGTTCCAACAACCCCCAGTCTTCCCTTCGGGGATGGATGCGCCCCTCCCCCCCCCTCCTTCCGGGGCCTGCAATGGGGGGCGGCGGATCGGTGGAGCGCCCGGGACGGTCAAAGATAGAGCCGGCATGACCTCGCAGAATGCAACGCGGTCTCACAGATGGTTCAAGATAGCCCAAGATGGATCAACATTGTTTCCCGCATGCTCCAAGAAAACCAAATACCGCTCCGAGACCGCCCCAAGCGGCCGCGGAGCCACCCAATAACACCCCCGAGAAGCCGAAATCTTTCCAAATCGTACGAGACACGAATGAATTGGGCCTTTTGGCCCATGCGCTTCCGAAGACTTTGGAAGCCTGAAGATAAGCCCCGAAGGAGTCCAGAAGAACCCAAGACAGCGCACTTCACGAATTACTCGGCTGGCTTGCTAGCAGAAGCCGCGCCTTGCCGGCGGCATTACAGCATTTCCCCGAGAAGCTTGTTTGGAAAATATCATTACTGACCCGATCCCGACAAGTTACTTTTGATATTGTGTTCCCGACAACCTTTCCTGGAAAGCTACTTTTGCACATGAATGTCGCTTTCCTTTCCCCTGAAAGTTTCTCGCGGCAATCGGTTTCGCCATCCTTTCCCTTCGAGTTACCTGCGCCGACCACTGTTGCCAGGCGCGCTGCAGACCTACTTCGCCGACCTACTTCAGGAGCTACTCTAAACCTACTTCATTTGTTTTGCGCCTCAAGCAAGCCCTGCATTCAAAGGGAAGTCTCGGCCGAAGTTGCGCTGGTCTACCGTGGACTGGGACCCGCGCGGAGCTCCAGCTCGCGGAGAAGTACCTCAACTGGCACCCCTCGAGCAAGGAACGTGAGCAAGCGCACCGTCTCAGCCGGGGGTATCGGAAAGGTATGTTGCACGTCAGGGGGAATCGGGATCCCCAAATGAAGGCACAGAAGCGTGGTCGCGCTGGTGGCCAGCCTCCTGAGTAACCGCTCTTGGCGGGAATACTCAGACCGAAGCCGCTCCATATCTGACGAAGTCTTGAGCCGAAGCATGATGATATTAGCAGGCGGGCGTTCCCCTTCCTCCGACCCCTCCAACTCCTGAAAATCGCCACCCCCTCCCGCAGGCCCAGGAAGAGCAGTAAGGGTACGAGTAGGAACGAGAGGGGGAGAGGAGGAGGAGGAGGAGGAGGAGGAGGAGGAGGAGGAGGACCAGCAGCAGCAGCAGCAGCAGCAGCAGCAGCAGCAGCAGCAGCAGCAGCAGCAGCAGTAAGGGTGCGAGTAGGAACGAGAGGAAGAGGAATTGGAAGAGGAGGAGGTGGACGAGGGGAGAAAAGCATGTTTTTTGTTGGCAAACATGTCAGTTGAAATACATCAAGGTGTTTGGAGCGCGGGTTGGAAAGTTGTGCCCCCAGGGGCTTGGTACCGAAAAGCGGGCTCGAAGGACAAACAGATTTTGTCATTCGAGCCCACTTTTACTTGGGGCACGGCGGATCACCCGATAAAATGGCAGTGGGCCAACTGGGGAGGGGGGGAGGAGGAGGAGGAGGAGGAGGAGGAGGAGGAGGAGGAGGAGGAGGAGGAGGAGGAGGAGGAGGAGGAGGAGGAGGAGGAGGAGGCGGGCGAAGGAGCCGGAGGAGGCGGAGGAGCGAGGAGGAGGGGAGGAGGAGGGAGGCGGAGCGGAGGGGGAGGAGGATGAGGAGGAGGAGGAGGAGGCTGATGAGGAGTGGGGTGGAGGGGGGAGGGAAGAGGGGCAGGATGAGGAGGAGGAGGAGGAGGACGAGGATGGGGAGGAGGGAGGGGACGGGGGAGGGGAGGAGGAGGAGGAGGAGGAGGAGGAGGAGGAGGAGGAGGAGGAAGAGGGGGGAGGAGGACGAGGACGAGGGGGACGAGGATGATGAAGGCCAGGGGGGGGAGCGATGGGAATGCACCTGAAGCAAGCGGGGCGGGGGCGCGACGCGGCCCAGCCCCGCTTGCTTCAGATGCATTCTCATCGCTTCAGATGCATTCAGCGCCCCTAAAGCTCCCAAGAGCGCTCCAAGAGGACCCGAGGAGGCGCCCAGACGGCCCCAATAAGCCTCCAAGAGGCTCCCAAGAGACCTCCAAGAGGCCCCCAAGAGGCGTCAGGAGGATCCCCGAAGCACCCAAGATGCCCCCCAGACGCTCCAGACATCCGCGGAAACTATTATGTCTGTCCGTTTTCCTCCTCCTCCTCCTCCTCCTCCTCCTCCTCCTCCTTCACCCACATCTTCGTCTGGATCTCCCCCGTGCCCGGCTGGGTGCCTGGGTGCCCGGGTGCCAGGGTTTGTGTCTGGGTGCCCGGGTGCCCGGGTGCCGCCTGGGTCCCAGACCATCAACATCTTCATAATAATAAAGTATCTTCAAAAAACTAAAGGATTTCATGAAATTACGGGTGCTTTT